GCCCGACTGTGAGGGCGGGCACAAGCCGGCGTGAGTAGGTGAAACGTTGAGTTTTATAAGGGCACCACGGGGTGACCAGCCCCTCCCCACCCAACCCCACCCTCCCCACCCTCCCCTCCCCACCCAGCCCCTCCCCTCCCCACCCTCCCCTCCCCACCCAGCCCCTCCCCACCCAGTCCCACCCAGCCCCACCCTCCCCTCCCCACCCCACCCTCCCCTCTCCACCCAGCCCCTCCCCTCACATTTTTGGATGGACGATGGACGGACACAATAATCCCCTGTGGGCTGGTGTAACCAGAGGTTCCTAGCAGTATCATCATGATCACACTTGACACCATTCGCTTGTGGCCGTCTGATACGTAGTCTCCACGGCACAGTAGCGTGTTTAGTCCAGCAGGGGGTGCTGCGGCATTGTTGTTGACGCACGTGTTGGCTTCACGTGGTATGAAGAAGAACAATTGAAGCAATTGGCGGGACCCCGGGGTCCCATCACTGCCCCGGGGTCGGAAAAACCGCGTAGCGACACGAGTCTTGCCTTACCGACAACACAACTAGCGTCAATCGATTGGCCTCGTCGAGAGCTACTCGGGGCACTAAGTTTCGTAAAAAGTTGAAAAATTACATAAACACGTTGAATTCACTGCCTGGGGGGCGGGGCCCGCCTTGGCAAAGAAGCCGAGGATCGACGGCTGACCGGAGGGCGTCGTCGCCCCCCGGGGCTCACGTTTGCCCGGTGGGGTGGCGCCCATCGTGTCGATCGCCGCCTGCTGCTGCTGGCGCTTGTTGGTGCGAGTCTGGGCGGGCGGCGCGTTGCTGTCGGGGTCACGAGTGGGTGGACTGAAAAATAATAATTATTGACCTGATTTTTGCGGGACCCCGGGGTCCCGCCAAATAATTCAATTGTCCAAATGTCGCGTATTAAAAAATAAATACTTTTAAGACCACAGTTTGTTATTTACAAATTGTCGCTGAGTTGTCATTGCACTGCAGCACGTGACTTGTTTTTCTTTTATCTAGGTCAAGAGTCATAACATAGGCAATGTGCAATTCTAAAGACCCCCATGGATGATTATGGTGGGTGTTTCAGATTGCCATCAAACACCCTACCTGTCACGCACTGGATTATAATTTTTAAAATCTGAGATAAATTCATACGTCGTACAAAGTTCACATTTAATACCATAGCCAGCTGGATTAAAACGGTCAAAATGAGTTATCTTTCAGCTCTGTACGTTGAGAACTACTCAAATTAATGCTGCGAAAACACACCGGCTTATGTGAGCCGATTCATAATCTGCGCTATAACTCACACACGTGTCTCCCTTGTTGCCTCTCACTCCAGAGGCTGTCCCCACTCCTTCCCTTGGCCTCGCCCCTCCACCAGTTGGCCCTGTTCAGCTCCATCCACCACATGAACCACAGATGTTTCTTTAATCTAGTTTAGAGGCTATATGCAGTTGTTATAGGTCATTACCAGTGCCATAGGTTATCGGTTTCTGGTTAAAATCAGCTGGACCTGTGAAATTAAAATTACAGGAAGCCCTCGACTTACGAACACCCGACTTAAGAACACCCGACTTAGGAACACCCGACTAACGAACACTAGTACTTAAGAATCCGCGAAATTTCGTGAAACTGAACGTTCGTAAATCGAGGGATACCTGTATAGAGTGAAAAACAAGGTAGGGCCGATGAGAAGTTTCCTGTTGCCTGGGAAAGCAAACGCGGTGTGGAAGGCAGGGCATGTGGAAGGAGGGAAGTTGTGAGATGTGATGAGGCTGAGGTTGACTCAGCCTCAAATTATTACCTGGTGCGATGTGTAAATATCGTCACTGGGGAGATAAAGACGGCCGGGCGTGGTGCTGGCCACCCATCCCTCGTGTGCCGTTCAGGCCTTCATAGGTGCTTGCTTATAGCACTTGCCCCAACAGTCTGTTAAGGCTATACGGGTGATCTTTGTATAATGAATGCCATAGATTTGGGCATAGGCAAAGGAATCTAGCATTTCTTATCAATCCATGCACTTCCTCCCACCACTCTCCCTAAAATAAGAATAATTAATGAATATGCACACCGTTAATTACCCACGTGAGGAGCCATATCAGCGCTATAAATCCGTCTTGCAGCTTGTGGACTGTGTAGCGTGGTGTCCCGCACCACAAGGGCCCTGCATTGCACCACAAACTAACTTTGCTTCTGCCTCCTACAAGGTGTAGGGCGTGATGTGCATGTAGGGGGAAGAAGAGTCTGGGGCCAGATACATGGAATGTGGGATGTGGGCAGGAAGAAGGTTGTGTATTGGAGATCCTGGCTCTGAGATAATGTGGAGGTTTGGGTAGGCTGTGTGCGCTGAGTGTTGCGGCGAGTGGTCGGTGGTATGTGGACTGGACAAAGAGGCTGATCGGATGTTGCAGGGTGTGTATGAGGCTGGGTATAGGAGTTGGGGCGTGTGCAAGGTGTGTACGAGGATGGGTGTTGGTATTCGAGTTGGGTGTATGGGCTGTAGATTAGACTATCTGGCTGTTTGATTGCTGGGTGGGTATGGGGCTGGCTGTGTGAGTTCTGGGTGAGTGTTTGGGGCTGGCTTTTTGATTGCTGGGTGAGGGTTTGAGGCTGGCTGTGTGAGTTCTGGGTGACTGTTTGGGGCTGGTGGTGTGAGTTCTGGGTGAGTGTTTGAGGGTGGCTGTGTGAGTTCTGGGTGAGTGTTTGGGGCTTGCTGTGTGAGTTCTGGGTGAGGGTTTGGGGCTGGCTGTGTGAGTTCTGGGTGAGTGTTTGGGGTTGGCTGTGTGAGTTCTGGGTGAGTGTTTGGGGCTGGCTGTGTGAGTTCTGGGTGAGTGTTTGGGGCTGGCTGTGTGAGTTCTGGGTGAGTGTTTGGGGCTGGCTGTGTGAGCTCTGGGTGAGTGTTTGGGGCTGGCTGTGTGAGTTCTGGGTGTTTGGGGCTAGCTGTGTGCGTGCTGGGTGAGTGTTTGGGGCTGGCTGTGTGAGGTCTGGGTGAGCGTTTGGGGCTGGCTGTGTGAGTTCTGGGTGAGTGTTTGGGGCTGGCTGTGTGAGTTCTGGGTGAGTGTTTGGGGCTGGCTGTGTGCGTGCTGGGTGAGTGTTTGGGGCTGGCTGTGTGAGTTCTGGGTGTGTTTGGGGCTGGCTGTGTGAGTTCTGGGTGAGTGTTTGGGGCTGGCTGTGTGAGTTCTGGGTGAGTGTTTGGGGCTGGCTGTGTGAGCTCTGGGTGAGTGTTTGGGGCTGGCTGTGTGAGTTCTGGGTGAATGTTTGGGGCTGGCTGTGTGAGTTCTGGGTGAGTGTTTGGGGCTGGCTGTGTGCGTGCTGGGTGAGGGTTTGGGGCTGGCTGTGTGAGTTCTGGAAGAGTGTTTGGGGCTGGCTGTGTGAGTTCTGGGTGAGTGTTTGGGGCTGGCTGTGTGCGTGCTGGGTGAGTGTTTGGGGCCGGCTGTGTGAGTTCTGGGTGAGTGTTTGGGGCTGGCTGTGTGAGTTCTGGGTGATTGTTTGGGGCTGGCTGTGTGAGTTCTGGGTGAGTGTTTGGGGCTGGCTGTGTGAGCTTTGGGTGAGCGTTTGGGGCTGGCTGTGTGAGTTCTGGGTGAGTGTTTGGGGCTGGCTGTGTGAGTTCTAGGTGAGGGTTTGGGGCTGGCTGTGTGCTTTCTGGGTGAGTGTTTGGGGCGGGCTGTGTGAGTTCTGGGTGAGTGTTTGGGGCTGGCTGTGTGAGTTCTGGGTGAGTTCTGGGTGAGGGTTTGGGGCTGGCTGTGTGAGTACTGGGTGAGTGTTTGGGGCTGGCTGTGTGAGTTCTGGGTGAGTGTTTGGGGCTGGCTGTGTGAGTTCTGGGTGAGTGTTTGGGGCTGGCTGTGTGAGTTCTAGGTGAGGGTTTGGGGCTGGCTGTGTGAGGTCTGGGTGAGTGTTTGGGGCTGGCTGTGTGAGTTCTGGGTGAGTGTTTGAGGCTGGCTGTGTGAGTTCTGGGTGAGTGTTTGGGGCTTGCTGTGTGAGTTCTGGGTGAGTGTTTGAGGCTGGCTGTGTGAGTTCTGGGTGAGTGTTTGGGGCTGGCTGTGTGAGTTCTGAGTGAGTGTTTGGGGCTGGCTGTGTGAGTTCTGAGTGAGTGTTTGGGGCTGGCTGTGTGAGTTCTGGGTGAGGGTTTGGGGCTGGCTGTGTGAGTTTCTGGCTTCGTGAGTTGCTGGCTGTGTGAGTTGCTGGCTGTGTGAGTTGCTGGCTGTGTGAGTTGCTAGTTGCTGGCTGTGTCAGTTGCTGGCTGTGTCAGTTGCTGGCTGTGTGAGTTGCTGGCTGTGTGAGTTGCTGGCTGTGTGAGTTGCTGGCTGTGTAAGGCTTGGGGCTGGCTGTGTGAGTTGCTGGCTATGTGAGGCTTGGGGCTGGCTGTGTGAGTTGCTGTGTGTGGGTTTGGGGCTGGCTGTGTGAGTTGCTGTGTGTGGGTTTGGGGCTGGCTGTGTGAGTTGCTGGCTGTGTGAGTTGCTGGCTGTGTGAGTTGCTGACTGTGTGAGTTGCTGGCTGTGTGAGTTGACTGCTGTGTGGGTTTGGGGCTGGCTGTGTGTGTTGCTGGCTGTGTGAGTTGCTGGCTGTGTGAGGCTTAGAGCTGGCTGTGTGAGTTGCTGGCTGTGTGAGTGCTGTGTGTGGGTTTGGGGCTGGCTGTGTGAGTTGCTGTGTGTCTGAGTTGCTGGCTGTGTGTGTTGCTGGCTGTGTGAGTTTCTGTGTGAGTTGCTGGCTGTGTGAATGCTGGCTGTGTGTGTTGCTGGCTGTGTGAGTTGCTGTGTGTGGGTTTGGGGCTGGCTGTGTGAATGCTGTGTGAGGCTTGGGGCTGGGTGTGTGTGTTGCTGGCTGTGTGAGTTGCTGTGTGTGGGTTTGGGGCTGACTGTGTGAGTTGCTGTGTGAGGCTTGGGGCTGGCTGTGTGAGTTGCTGGCTGTGTGAGTTGCTGTGTGAGGCTTGGGGCTGGCTGTGTGTGTTGCTGGCTGTGTGTGGGTTTGGGGCTGGGTTCGGGGTCTGGAATTGGGCGAGCGGGCGGGCGGGGCTCCGGATCCGCCCAAACCCCCGCAGCCTCGTCCGCAGCCTCGTCCGCCTGGCGCCTTCGCCTCTTCAGCATCACCGCTCGGCGCCTTCGCCTCTTCAGCATCACCGCTTGGCGCCTTCGCCTCTTCAGCATTACCGCTCGGCGCCTTCGCCTCTTCTTCATCACCGCTCGGCGCCTTCGCCTCTTCTTCATCACCGCTCGGCGCCTTCGCCTCTTCGGCATCACCGCTTGGCGCCTTCACCTCTTCATCACCGCCACCACCGCGGCCATGGCCACGTCCCCGGTGAAGTCTCCGACCGGATCGCTCAAGGGCAAGAAGGACGACTCCTTCCTTGGGAAGTTCGGCACCCTGACGAGGAAGAAGAAGTCAAAGGAAGGTGAGGTCGGCTACGCCGGGTCATCATCACGAGCGTCAACAACCACCATCATTATCATCAGCATCATCATCGTCATCGTCACCGTCGTCGTGGCTGACGCCTCCACCACCGTTATCGTCGTGAAGCTGGACAGATTTACAGAGTGTGCCCTGAGAGCGGAGTGGCCGCGCTAATGAGTGTGAAGATGAGTGTGTTTGGTGAGAACCGTGGTTATTTTTAATGGTGTAGCGAGGGGAGGACGTGCAAGCCCGCATGCTGTAAGTTGTCGGCGGGGGGGTGCTCTTCGTCTGGAATTCCCCTCGACTAACAACGCTTTCGTTACAACGAAGTTGACTCGGCTTTCATGCGGCTCTCATTTAAAAAAAAACACATTCATACGACGCGTAACAGCGAAAGCACACAGTGTATATCTACAGTTGTGCCTATTCACTTTTGCACGTAAAGCGCGCTCTATCCAAGTAATACAATGTTTATGATTCATAATTATTGGCGCGCTAAACTGTGAAGAAAATCCCGGCCCCGAAAACGCCGAGGCGTTGTACGTCGTGATCCCCCCTCCCCCCCGACGGGGGACCCCCGGGGCCGAGAGGGTGGGGGGCTTCATTCCTGGGGGCGGGGTCCCACTGTGTGTGCGTGTGTGGAGTCTCTCACCAGATTTGGTGATTTCTCATCCACGCGTCTCACGCGTTGGGTCTCACTCCGTGCGTAGTCTGTCATCGGGATTTGGTGAATTCTCTCACCCACGCGTCTCACGCTCTCACGCATTCGGCCCCACTGTGTGGGGTCCATCACCAGGATTTGGTGAATTCTCTCACCCACGCGTCTCAGGCTCTCACGCATTGGGCCACACTCTGTGTGGAGTCTGTCATCGGGATTTGGTGAATTCTCTCACCCAGGCGTCTCACGCTCTCACGCATTGGGCCCCACTGTGTGTGGAGTCTTATCACCAGGATTTGGTGAATTCTCTCACCCACGCGTCTCACGCTCTCACGCATTGGGCCACACTCTGTGTGGGGTCCATCACCAGGATTTGGTGAATTCTCTCACCCACGCGTCTCAGGCGTGAAAGACATGGGCCGGAGTACAACATGATTCCATTTAAGGTAGCAAATATGTGAGATGTGCCGATAAGAGTGAAATACTTGATAACCCGCTCATTTCAGTCATTTATCACAATTCACTGTTATGAGCCACGTAAAAAAAAAATCGTAACCACTAATGAAGTGACAACCACCAGAGGTGGAAGCAACATGTGACACATCTGGACTGTTGAGCGTGGAGAGTTGCTCACCAGTCGCATGTCCCTCCACTCTGACTGCATTGGGCTAGGTTGCGTCAATTGCACAATGACTATCATGCACGTGAGTGTGTTTCACATACAGACCTGGAGTGACGGCGCCGCATCGATATTGAGGTGGCAGTGAAGTGTGTAATTGTGTACGTGTGAACAGAGGGCAGCACTTCATTGAATGTCATGCAGGGCAACTGAAGCATACAGGTAGTCCCCGACTTACGATACAGGGTAGTCCCCGACTTACGATGGGGATGCGTTACGACGACCCCCCCATCGTAAGTCGAAAATATCGTAAGTCGAAAATATCGTAAGTCGAAGATGGCCTAGCCGACCCAGGAGTCTTAAAGAATGGTGATAATTTAGCAAAACAGAGCAATTTACAGTACCGTACTGTATAAACTATATACTCTATGCATTTATTAATTACAATACTGTATTGCACAGTAAAATGTAAAGTAAAAAAACAGGGTAAATTCTTAGCCTACCTATATGAACTGCAATTTCATGGAAAGTTTTTTTTAGTAAACAATTCTATCTGCTATAAAAAAAAACTTTTAACGTGCTTTGAACGTATGTATCGTATCGTGGTAACCATAAAATTAAATCGCTAAAGCTACGTATCATACATGCATTGAACGTATCTACTGTGCTCACCAAGATGCTGTCCGTCGTCTGCATACTTGAACGATGTCAGGTTGTTGATGGCTACATTAACTTAGTTGTCAGAAGAGGAGGATGGCGATGATAAAGTTTCAGTCTCGTACCTTGTAGCACGCTGCTGCGTTTGCCTGCCGCGCGAAATTACAAATATTTTTACAATTTTGTCATATCGCTATCGTAAGATCGAAATATCGTAAGTCGGGGGACTACCTGTATCAGGAAGATGTGTGAGAAGGTCGGATAATAATAAAATAATAATATATATAAAACAATAAAATTCTCACGACGTTTCGACTGCAACACAAGCAGTCATCGTCAGCAGTCATCAGATGACTGCTTGTGTTGCAGTCGAAACGTCGTGAGAAATTTATTGTTTTATATATATTTTATTGTTTCCCTTCAACGTCCCAAAGAACCAAGAATATGAATCACTGCAGTCACGAAAGCTTTAAATCAAAATTTAAGGTCGGATAAGTGAATGTCTGTAGAAAATGACAAGTTACACTGCTGTGCACAAATAGTTTACTGGACAAATATTCAGCACAATCTGCTGTACTTTAGACATAAACGAACGTATACTCACATTTTGCTGCTGTCACTTCTCTCTCTGAAACCTTCTGCTGCTAGACCATCCAGATTTCCCTATGCAACCTCTTGTTGCAGCAGCTCGTTTTATTGCCCTTCTCCCGCTGTGTTTGTCTCACCTGATGACGGTTGCTTGGGTTGCGGTGGATACGCCGTGATCTATTTTTTTGTTTCCATCTACGTGACTTTACCGAAAGAACCAAAGAGTACGCGCATGTCCTCTTTGTGTATTGTTTATTATTGCTAGAGGTGCTGAAGTTGGCATGAAGTGTCAGTTTCAGTAGATCCTTTCAGAACCAAAGCTGAGTTCAAATCACATCAGAGATCCCACGTGGTGTACATAGCAGGCTACAGCCTCAGAGGGATCATCTCTTATGGCCTCTAATCTCTCTGCTATGAAGAAGGCCCACTGCTCCAAACATCACGTATTATATTTGTATATTTTCTGTTTTTGTTGTGAAGCGTTATTAACAAATCTGTTGAATTGATGTTATCCCTGGGGTTGACTGGATATAATGACTACCTCATTTGACGTGCGTGACACTGTTACGATAAATACGACGGCCAGCCTCATGCTGTCCTCACCCCTCTAGGGGGGGGGGGGGCGGGCAACGTTATGCACTCTACCCCTCGGTAGCCTCCATGGGCCCCCTTGGCTGCTCCACTTGAGCCCCCGCTGAAAATTTCCCCAACTGCAAAACAGTCGCCACGTGCCTGGAATAGTGTCTGCGAGGGAAGGAGTGCGTAGCGCAGCGGCTAACACGCTGTGCTATGAGCCCCGTGACCCGAGTTCGATTCCTGCTCATGGCCAACACCAGTGACGATTATCTAAGGACCTCTCTCCTAGGTCGACTCAGACTCAGATGAGTACCTGGTGCGGTATGTAAACATCGCCACTCTGAAGACAAAGGCGGCCGGGCGTAATGTTGGCCACCCACACCCTCGTGTGCCACAGTGTGGGCCTTCGTAGGTGCTCGCTAACAGCACTTAGCCCAACAGTCTGAGGCTATGGGGGGGATCTTTACCTTTGTATTCGTGTTGAAGAGCCAGACTTTAACGAACTGGCAAATGAGCTTCTTCTAGCCTTGGAATATAGGAAGATGTGGATCATGCTTGACATGTCATGTAGTTGTTGTCTCCTTTATTAAACCAGGATATGAAATAATAAACCCATTGAGACACATAAGACATACATTCCTAAATTGTAAGATCAATCTGGGTTACACTAAGAACAAGTTAAGATGAATTTTTTTTTGTAAACAAATGCATACATTTAACAAACCTAGACTGAGTATGGTAGGATATAGTGAGCAACTTGGGAGTGATCGTGATGGTTTCAACTTGAAACGCACTGCACAGTATTTGCTTGTTCTTGAAGAGGTTGAACAACTTGGAGGTGTGGGTAACCACAGACAAGCAGGAAGGCAACGCCAGGCGGTGAGACGGCACCAAATCCCCCCTCAAAGCTCTGTGGGCCTCTATATATTCAGATATGTTTGCTCAATTAATGAGAGTTTGTGTCATTAAAAAACGAAGCGCCCAGAGAAAAACTCATGCATGCGATAGGGCGACACTATTCCATGCAGACAGACCAGGTGAAATCCACATTAGCTGTACCACATTCTCCTGGCAAGCCAAGGGTATGGGCACCTTCACGACATCCACGGGAAGGGAGTTTCCTAACATTTGTGTGATCCACCAACCCTCACCTCCACAGTGCTGCTTTGCAGGCAAACTCAACTGCCACCGCCCGGCTAAATATAACGTAGCAAGAAATCAACGTGGACGGACTTATGGCAAGGAGGTTGTGCTGGACGAGGGGCATGTGTGTAGGAAAGAGTGACCCCTCCCCCTGGAATGGTATTCCAGACGCGGGTGACTCAAGCAAATACTTGAAGCCAGATGTTGAGATATTGTAAGAGCGAACCTTGGCGTGCAGGTGTTGACTTGGACCAGAATTTAAGGAAGAGGATGGATGAAGGACGAGAATAACTACGATGATGATTTGTGGATGGCTAGAGTTTGTCTATGTACAGTAATGCACATCTTGATTTTGGCACAGTGTGATATTACGATATTTTCTACGTAGGATCAAGATTAACGATAATGCAATGGAAATATACTTTTTAAAGTAGGTATTATAATAATATATGAGTGATAATCATGACACCTTCCCGTCTTCACCAACTGGCACCAACTAGCATGGTGAAGTATGGTCACACATCCCCCATGACGATACAGCGGGTGTGTGTGGAGGGGCTTCCCCAGTGTATTGACTAAGAGCTCTTAAACATAGACACCTCTCAGTTTAGCACTCATCTGGTGAAAGATCAGGCTTCGTAAACTTAACTATTTTTAAAACTTTCTTTTATTTTACCAGGTAACGCTTTTAATCCGTTCCACGAAAAATACTGTGAACCAAAATAACCCTTAATCGAATATAGGAATTACATGTTAAAAG